GTTTTTTTTTTTTTTTTTTTTTTTTTATAAACCTTAGAAGTTGCCCCGTGCAAGTCCTGGCCTTTTGGGGTTAAGCAGTGTGTGATAAAGGCCCCACCAAGCAATCCTCGTCTTTTGGAGCAATAGGAGAGGCTCAGGAAAACGATCTCAGGAAGTCGGTCCCCCCAGCAATTGTAAAGCTCAACAATAAATGAGCTGGTCAGTGGCTGACCAGTACATGTTGGGGCCGATGATGTCAGGATGGGTGGAAGAGAGCTCGTGAGCACCAGTCAGTGTGCTTGCTGCCTGTGCAAGCTCAACAGACAAGGGCGAACCAATCTTCTCATGCCTTTTTCAACGTGGCTCCTCATGCATTCACCCTGCCACCGGGGGAGTGTGGATGTTGTTGGACATGCGGTTTGAAATTTGTGGCGCCTTGAAGGGAGGCAATGGTGGTAGGTCCCTTGGTAGGTAAGATGTTCCTTCCCAAAAATGCCCAGGCTCCCTCATAAGGCCTCAGGCCCGGCCTAAAGGTTACCCAGGCTTCCACAACCCCCCGCTTGGACATCATGTCTTCAAGTTGGCCAAAAGGCCGTCAAGAATGGCCTGATGGGGCCTCCTTCGAGGGCCACTGGCAAGAAAACTGTGCCGAGGCCTTTTGGCAGCAGAGTATTCAACACTTGTAGTTTCCATGCACGACCCCGTTTGGGAGAAGATTTCAGAGTTGTTTGCAAAACGCTGTGTTCAAAGTAAGTGTCAGGATCTTTTTTGCCATGGCTTGGAAGTCTAGCTGGTGATGGAAGATGCTGCTTTCATTTTGTATGTGTCGCCAATGTTCTTTCAGAGTCCATGGGTGCACGATTTCCCCGCTGCAGGGCATGGGCCAGTTCACGCATGCAGATGGAGACGTCTTCGTGGGCCAGTGGAGGACAGACCACTTGCAAGCCTTTGCAAATTCAAATATCTGCTGGTGCCTTGTGACTCACAAAACCCGCTTGTAGCCGCTTGCCATGATACTGAGTAAAACTGCGCGCTGGTTGCTGTTTGACATGCATTGCAAGGCCCATTTTACAGGTAGGCTTGCTCAACCTCTGCATCCCAGCACGCCACCCCGCTCCTACTGTTGCCCCCAAGTGTCACAAGACATGCCCACCGCAGGAGAAGTGCCGCCGAAGGCTTAGGCCCGGGTGCTTGAACCGCCAACTTTGAACGTTCTGGGATCCATGTTGCAAGGGAGCTTTCTCCTAAGCTTGTGACTGAAGTTGGAGTAAGTGACGAAGCGGCCTTCGTGCTCAACAGTGATGTTGGTGAAGTGACTTCATGGCTGCTTCTGGAAATGAGAGCAATCTCACCGCTTCGAAAGGTGATTAATTTGAGAAGCAATGGAGGAGCTGTGTGACTCACAGCCAGGCACGTACTACCACAAACACGGCCTGACCATCTACCGTGGTCAATGGCTCCAGGACTGTTAGTTTTAGGCTTGAGATATGCATTCCTGAATTTTCCAGTCTGCTTCCACAAGTCTCAGCAAGTTTGCCCAGTAACAGTCAGACAGTCGAAGGGGCGTTGTCAAGCCGAAGGGTGTCTGAATACAGGAGCCGCACTTCTTAAGTTGCCAAGAACTCATATAGCCCAGAATCGCTATCAAGCAAGTGTCACCGGCGTATTTAGAGGCTGTGTTGCTGAGTCATGCTCGGTATCAGAGATTCCAGGTTGGTGGTGCAGAAGTGTAGAAACAGTTTTCAAGATCTTGAAGATGGCTTCTGGAACGGAAAGGGCAGGGCACTTTGCCGCGTGATGCCGCGTATTGTTGAAGCCCTGGCCTTTAGGGTATGATTCACAAGTCGTGCACCTTTCCCTTGTACCCGTAGGATGTGCAAAAATGTGCTCGATCGACTCTTGCTAAGTGCTACTACTAGCTCTTGTAACCCGGTGCAAATGCACTCACACATGCCCATGTGCTCTGCACAACCACTGTGCCCTTGGTATGTAGCATTGTGTCGGCTCGAAGCCATAAAGCTTCACAAAGAGCCGGGCAATCCTTGTGCAGGCTGCTGCAGCTGTGTTGGAGAGCCCGAAACCTTGGACCCCACCTCTCAGTCCAACATACCCGGCGATGCCATGAATGTGTCCATCCCGGGCAAGTATGGCTTCCGCCGCAAAGCCGAGCAGCGCTCCAGTGCCGTGGCCGCTGTCTGGGCACAGGCCCGGTCAGATCCCTCTTCAAAACTCGTTGTACATGCCAACGCCTAGCCAGGACTTCCAGGCATTATCACGCCCCAACAGCTGTCATTTCAGTCTAGCCACACGGAGTCCAAAAGTCCAGCGCCTTGAGAACAGTAACTGGCAGCCTGTTTTCGGCGCCGGCTCTCGATTCAGGTCAGTGGACTGGTAGACGCCGAGGCTCACCAACCGCGTGCGGCAACTGGTCGCTGCTGGGAGACCTTGCCGCAGGTCCCACCTGGAAGCTTTAGAATTTGTGGGATGATGTAAGGTTGCAGGATGTTGCAGGTCGGTGTCTTTTGGCTGAACCTTGGCTGCTAGGGTGACGCATTTCTGGGAGGCTCAGCTAGCTACTTGGGGTGAGTCCGTTGAGCCCTTGACACTTCGCTCTCAGGATTTGCGCTTACTGTTTCAGGTAGACTGCTCTGAAATTTGTGATGGTGGTCCGCACAGATCAAGTTGTGGTTTGCAGGCCCTAGACCCTGCAGACGGCGAGCTGGACCCCGGTCGTGCGGCGCGAAAGAGGGCGCAGGCTGGACACTCAGCCGCAGCATCAGCATGTTAGATACCAGGAGCGCGGTGTCGATGATGCTGAAAGATATGTGATGCATGGGAAGCATTAGGAGCTGCAGAGGAACAGCCAATAGCCGTGGCTCCAGAGAATAGCAGAGTGGAATCGGAGTTTGGATTGCAGGTGGATTGCCTGGCCAGCTATGCGCTGCAGATGATGAAGCGGGCGATGAAGGCCGCAGCCAAGGTAGAGACTCTGGATGCATGCTCCAATCAAACTTTGCAAAGAAAGCTGCTAGACGTTTCAGAGGCAGCAGCATCCTTTGCATAGTAGCGGTCGTAGTAACGGTCTTTTTCTAAACTAGATTCTCTGCAGTGGCGCAGCTTTCTCAGAAAGCCCAGCTTAGTTTGCGGCAATCCAGATCTTGCCGCCCTCCACCACGCTCCTCCGCATGAGATGCGGGTTGAAAGACGCGCCATGGCGATTTCTACTGAAACGTGGCAGGATGTGTCGGCCTTGCGAGCGCACCGGCCATGTTCAGCATGTAGTGGGTTCATGTACAGTTACGGGCTGCTCTAGGGAGAATGCATCTCAAGTCTAAGCCCTCTTGTTTCTGGTTGCCACTCTTCAGCTGTAAACCTCACCTGAACTAGACCTTGATATCTTCCGTCCCGAGCCCCGTTCCTGCTTGTTGGGTTCCTCTGCGCAGGTTGTTGAATTCGGTGCTGGCTCCGGGCCGCCTGGTTAAACGTAACGTGATTTGTCAACGACCACCTCCTGGTGTCGCGCAAGCCTGTGAGTACTGCAGGCATCTAGGCCTCCTCCTGGCCTCGGAGCGCCCAGACTGTCAGGTGGTGCTGGTGGAGGCCCTCAGTCGGCTAGACTTGGCTTGCGAGTTCCAGGTGCTTGTTGCAGAGGGACCATTGCAATTTCCAGGCGAAAGCGTACAGTGCTGATGTTGCCTCCCGAAGAATCGAGTCGGCCGCCTAGACGGTTTGCAGCTGTGAGCGCGCGCCCGGGCACAGCACTCGAGCATTGAGTACAAGTTTCTGTTGTTGTTGGGCAGTTGTCAAGCAACCTTGAATCATCCCCGAGGAAGACGCATATATGTTTGAAATGCTAACTCCAATGTAAACGAATAAGGGCACCATCATGCTGCCTGACAGGACGAAGTCCTGAACACTGGTACTTGTGCGCTCTCAAGGTGCTCAGATATGGTCAGCATTTAAACGTTGAGTTTGACACAGCATTGCCAAACAAAATCACTGCAATTTTGGCGAGCGTGGGCTTGACTTTTTTGAATATAGTTTCTCTGGCACTCTGCAGACTGCAAAAGAAAGCTGGAAGAAAGCAAGGTTTTCATTTCCCTCAGTATCTTCGCCTCCGAATCCAGTTGCGTATGCATTCCGCAATAGATCCCAGGGTGTTAAACTTTGGAAGAGTACTGGCAGCGCAGTTTTCCGATGATCGGATGGCCGCATCCAGGGTATTTCCCAACCCGTTTGGCCGACTTTATTGCTTTTTGGTCCACGTGCTTTATGCAAGTGACTGCATGATGCCAGAGCATCTTGGGTGTGTCAACAGACTGCGGTAGGTCAATATGTTGTCTGACATGCAATCCCAAACCTTCCTCCACGCGAGTCCAAAACCAGCAATCCCAAGCTCAGGGGCACCGGCATTCCCAACTGCCGGGTCTTCCAGGGTACCGTGGACGCCTTTGCAGCCACTGGCGAGGCGTGAGTGCTACGGTATGGCTGACGCTGCATAGCCGCCTTGAAGATTAGTGTGTGATAGAATTCGTCGGGGCTGTGAGACCGCTGGCAATCTCCTGCGAGCACGCTGGTGTAAATAAAGTTCCTCAGGAATTCGACCTGGCGGTCGGGCTGCACCTCTGCGGGCTTCTAACGGACGCGGTGTTAGGTGACCCGGCTGCTTGTGTGATGCTGATTTCACAAAGTCTTCTCCAGACGGGAACGGGTTCGTAGAAAATGAAGCTCGGCTGCTGAAGCCGTTCCTGGTTGCAATTGAGGAAGCTGATCTTCGAATGTTGTCTTGAGAAACTTTGTGTTTGACGTGTTTAGTGCTGGCCTGCTTCATGTCTACAGCATCCCAGAATGGATGCTCTTGTTACATGGTTCAGGTTTAGGGCAGGGTGAGAACCGTTCTTGCCCAGGCCTGGCTCGGCGCCGCGGGGCCGCAGCGTGCGTGGTGCCCTGCTGCTACGGCCAGGTGCGGCAGTTGCCTGATGTCATCGGCAAATCCGTCTTCTATGACGGTCATTATGTTGTCTGCGTTCCTGTGAACTCCATTGTGCCTCCAGCATCGGCAAAATATCTGGAAAATGCATAATATGAATTCGGGCAGCTTCGAGGTTGCGCCGATGTAGGCGAATGTAGATGTACAATATTACCCGTTGGCCACTGCAGGTAGCCACGCTTAAAGAGGATCACCAGCGGGGTGAAGGTGGCCGACTGTGAAGCTTGATCACCTGCAAGCTCTGCAAATCGTCGCTGTCAACCGCACAGATGCGCAGCAGTCACTCACAGTTCAAACGATGTTATGACGTCCTTCATGAAAGTTTTCGTGGCTCGCAAACAGGCACAGCGCAGAGGATGCATCCTTGCAGCCAGGTGCGGGGTCAGCTTTGGGCACTTGGGATCACATTGTGCTAGGCTGCCAGCTTCTTAGCTAGCAGGCGCCGCTACAACTAACAGAGTTTCGGAAGCATGCCTTGAAAAAGAGATGGGAGGTGCTGCATGTGACTATGTGTTCTGCCTATTTGGGTTTGGGTGGGGTCAGCGTACCTACAGTATCTCCTGGTTACTCTCTCCCCCTCCATCCCTGTTCTTGTCTTCAGCACCTCCTTTTTTTGCAACGCCTTCCAGGTGGTAGCTCTCGCGTTTGTTGCAACAGCTTTTTCGTCAACTTGTGTTTCTGATCCCGTTTTGTTTTTGTTTTTGTGTTTCAGGCGCCCCTGACGGTCTTGAAACCAAAGCCATTTGGCATTGGGGACGCGCTGGTGTCTTCTGGAGGACCTCCCACATACCCGGCCCCATTCCACAATGGGTCCCCATTTGGCATCAGCACAGAGCAGGCCGATCTTTAGGACCCCGCATGCCTTTGAAGTAAGGCAGTTCTTGTAAGCCGGGGAGCTGGCGGTCGGCCTTTTCCGAGAGTTTTGGGTAGGACATACTACTTGACCTTAAGTACAGACTGCCCCTAGGCCTAAAACACAAACCATTCAAAGCGCGACTCTATCGGTCATCTTGTTTTAGGATACTCAACACCGGCTCACATCAGGCCATGCAAATGATTTCCACTGAGGCGGGGGGGAAGGGGTCTGCGTTTGTGGTCTGCAGCTTCGAGGTTTCAGAGGTTGGGAGCTTGGTTTTGGGTGTACGGTGCTGACCATGGGACATCAAGCGAGTGTGTGACGCGGACGGCCGGTCTTTGCAGCATGCAATGCGCGGGATCTAGCAGACATGCATAACAGTCAGCAAAACTAGCGGAGAGAAGGGGGACATACTGAACGATACGGAATGCTATCGCAGAGTTTCTCTATCTGGGTGAGAGCCTAAATGGACCCTTGTGTGTGCAATGCCTCGTGGGTGAGGCGTTTGCATGGTGTGCAAAAGCTGCAGACTTTACGCCTGGCAAGGCCGGGGAGAGGACAACACTTATGTTTCCTGCGTCAAGTGCGGTATAAGTGACCACGATCCCCTCAGCTAGTGACTGCTACGGTCAGCCAGCACAAGAACTGTGTGGCCCTGTTACTCACTGAAGTGCTTTGCGTTACGCACGGACAATCGAGACTTGACATCGCCATCTCCTCCTGCAAAGATCTTCAGCAACGCCTAGCTTCTACACATAATTTTCTCAGCTGCAGGGTTTGGGTTGACAACGTCCTTTCAGTAGAGCTTTTGTAAAGACATGCTCAAGCTGTCTTGGCACTCTTTGCGGCAACTGGACCTTCCTGATGAATGTTACCTCGACCTCTTGAATGCATCGTCCTCACTCATGCAGTAAGGCTGATTGAAGATTATGCGACTTGCCAGTGCAAAGACCCACAGTGTGTCACAGATCCAGGTGATAGACTTGGACAAGGTGCCACTGTAACTTGCATCAAGGTCTGTACTTTACTCAACGACTGAAATAGAAAACCCCAAGGCTGCTCGACTCAATATTAGATTCGAACACAGGGTGGAGCCTTCGACCCAGAAAGCGAAGGCTTCAACACCGCGGGACACCCAGCTCATCCCAGCTCTATGGAAAGAGTCGCAGCTAAATAAGTCAGGAAGCAAGCCCACAGAGCATAGCATAGAACATATTCAACATCTCCTTGTCTCTTGGCCAGAGGGTATGACGGCAGCACTTGTTTGTCTTTTTGTCCGACTGACTTGAACTGCAGGTTAATTTCGAGTGTGCAAAGAAATGCGTAGGGTCACAGTTCATGGCATGACTTTTCAGAACAGCAGTTGCTCGCTTTTCAGTTTTCACGACGTTTGCTACCCAGGCCTTAAAGTGCATGCGCATTGTGGACACTGACCGGCTGTGGACAGCTCGCGAGGAAGGGCAGGGCACCCAGCAGCCCGGGGAGAGCGATGAAGTGTCGAAGCGAGAGGTGATTTCCTACGCGCAAGCTACAACATGCGCGCAAGCTACAACATGATGCCAGACCTCCTGTTGACTTGAAAACTAGACTTATCTTGACACCGGTGTACAAGCAGACCTATTGTCCATAGACCTGCCTATTCTGAAC